CCCCGTACCCCTCCTCCCTGTCTGTGGAAAAATTGTCTTCCATGAAACCAGTCCCTGGTGCCAAAAAGGTTGGGGACTGCTGCCTTAGGCCACAAAAGTCACAATGTGGCCTGAGCAGTAAGGATTGGAACTTAGGTCTGTCTGATTTTTCAAGCTAGCATGCCTTTCCTAAGACAAGCTAACTTGTACTTCTTTGCTAAGGGAAGAAATAAAGCTTCTTCTTTATTTCTGTGAATGTTTTTATTTATCTCTTCCTGCTCTCCCTTTACCTCCTTTAAATAATAATAATAATAACAAGGTAATCCTGGGAGTCTGGCATGAAATGTTCACTAATGTGCCTAGTTTGGCATTGCATGCACTGCTTAGGTGTCTTTACTCCTTTAGCCTCTCCTATCCTCAGAAACCATCTCTGGCCTCTCATTTGCAGTTCAAGAGTATCTCCACCCCCTCCACTGCACTAACACCAACTCTAGCAGAGGATAAGACTCTACCCCAGTTGACCTTGTGGATTGCTAGATCCTTGGCCTTGCTTACTTTCGATAGTTTATTTGTCTAAGGCCTTTCATTTTGATTTGCCAGCAAAATGAGAATGATGAGCTGCCACTCCCCATTCTTAGTGTGTCTTTATAGCCCTAAAAGGGCTGATTTAAGAAATGGTTTGACTCTCAGGGAAAGTTACCTGATCAAGGACACAGGCCTTATTACATTTTCCAGCTAAGGTGTGGCCTTGGTTTCAAAGAACAGCCAAGGGCAAATGTCGTTAGAAGAACACCCAAGCTTGGGGCTAATCAATTCTTAATCTCAAAAGCTACTGGCATTTGAAGGGTAGGGGCACTCCATTGTTTTATAGTTAAGAAAACTGAGGCTCAGGGAGGAAAGGAAGATTTAAATTCTCACAGCTAGTGAGGACAGAACTGGGGACCCTTTCCTCCCCCATTTCTGCTGTCCCCTCTCCCCACACCATTCAGTGATTATTTGGGGGCCTACAGGACTGAGGTGCAGCCTGGGAGCAGATGGGGGCAGCACTGCTGAGTGCCCTGTTGGGATCTGCTCAAGGGGCTGGGGGTGAGAGGAGCTGATATTGGAGCCATGTCTGAAAGGACCAGGAAGATTTTTCCTGGTAGGGAGGAAGGGCCGATTAGGTCACGCTGTAAAGTTTCCCCAGTGAAAGAATGAATGCTTCTTGCTATGGGGAATTATTGGGCATTTTTGAGTGAAGGAGATAGAACTGAATTATTAAATGCAAGTAAGGGCTTTGGAGTCCTACAGACCCAGGCTCCTGACCATGAACTCTATCACTTAACACCTGTTTGACCTCAGGCATCTACTTCCCTCCCCCAGTCTTGCTTTCTCCTTGTAAAATGGGGATAATATTGTTACCTACCTCCCCAGGTTGAAGGAGGGTTAAATAAAGTCATGGGTACAGAATACTTAGCACAGTTCTTGGCACCCAGAAAGCACTAATGCATTAGTAGGTGGTGGTTTTCTCTAACCCTCCCTGTCTCAGGCATTCCTTTGCATCACCTAAAACAGATGCCCCACTCCCCCTCTGCCTCCCAGTCTCAGGGTACTTGGCTTGGGGAAGACCACCTTCTTGGCTCCCACAGCAGTCAGACCCACAGTCTGTTCTAAACATGTGCCCTGAGTGCTTGCCTTATTGGTTTGAGGAATTCTAAGTTTTGTTATTTTTTCGAAGTGCTCTGTCATTCTGTACCTAATAATGGCATTCGTGTAACCCTTTATAGCTTACAAAGCATCTTCACCTACATGGTTTATTTCACCCTCAAAACAACACCATGAGATAGATATTTCATTCTCGTCTTATCTCTGAGGAAAATGAGTCCCTCAACTTCCTCAGGTGTCCTGATGTTCAGATTCCAGAGCCCAGGTCGGACCTTTCCCAGAGGGTCAGGCCCAGGTTGGAAAGATGTGACTTAATCTATTTCTCTGGAAGATTCCCAAACTCCCCTTTCTTAAAGATCTTCCTTAGCAGTGGATTCTGGGATACAGAATTCGCTTTCATCTGTCACTTTTTCTGAAGCAAGAATTTTTTCATTTATTCCAGGGTGCGGAGAGGGTGGGGAATTTCAGATAGTTATTTTTCAATTCAGTTAATATTTATTGGGAGTTCGCAGGGCTCGTGTTTCCCTACCAGGTATCCTGCAGCTGCAGGGTTTGGTGGAGGTCAGGTCACTGCCTCCAGCCCTCATTATCTTGTCTAGACAAGATAAACATCCACACACAGGTAAGTATTTACAAAATAAGAAATAAACTTAAAAATGTACCCATTCTGGAGGTGAATGGAGACAGCAGTCCTTCTGCCATCCTCGACAGAAAAAAAAATGTTTCCCAATTTTTTTATATCAAGACAATAAAAAGCATGATCCTTTTAATAGTTTCATGTCCCTCATTTAAAGACCTGGGTGAGAATCCTCTGAATGGTGAGCTTTGAAAGGCGGATGCCACATGTTCCTTTGCTTGCTATCTTCAGCACCTAATATTGTGCCTGATTGAATTTTCAAAATTTCTCTTAGATTTTTCTCATCTTCTGATTCCGTTCTCTCACGCAGTTCCAAATTGTGCTGCCTGAGCAATCTTTGTCTACTCCTTCCATGGTCCCTGGATGAAGTTAAAGGGCATCCTGTTGACCATCCTCTCCTAGATGCCCTGTTTCAAGGCACACTGGGAGTTTGTCTGTCTCTGCACGGAGGCACTATGAGTCTTGCTCAGTTTTATGCATCTCTGATGAACTCAAAATGGGTTGAAAAGCTTGCATGGTGACCAGTAAATTTCCCTCAATCTTTTCCTGTTCCAGGTTCCTATGCGGGGGCTGTGGTTGCCATGCCCCTGGCTGGGGTGTTGGTGCAGTACATTGGATGGTCTTCTGTCTTTTATATTTATGGTGAGTGATTCAACTTCATGAGTTCACATGGTGACTCATAGAGATGGTATTTTACCGTGTAAGTGTTTGGCTAAAAGTTTATTATGTGAAAATGGAGATTTCCAGGACAAATTTATCATGTAATGGAATATTTGTCTACTTGTGATTCATTTAATATTTATATTAAAGTTGCCTTTTTTTTATAAGAAGCAGAACATTATCTTTCTGTAAATACCAATTAATAAATACCAGGAAAGTCAACAAAATACTTTTTCCTAGCTGAAATATCGTCATTTGGGAATACTGTAAAAATTGAAAAATTTCAAGATGGAAGAAAATGAGACCGTATCATCAAGCCTTTTTTTTTTTTTTTAACTTCAGGTATGTTTGGGATTATTTGGTACATGTTTTGGCTGTTGCAGGCCTATGAGTGCCCAGCAGCTCATCCAACAATATCCAGTGAGGAGAGGACTTATATAGAGACAACCATAGGAGAAGGCGCCAACTTGGTTAGTCTAAGTGTAAGTATAAATGGATGGATGAAGACTTGCCTCTTTTTTATAAGTATTTCTCTTAGTGACTGTGTTGCCCTCTTACAAGAAAAAGATGTCAATATCTTCACTAAAAATCTCATGGTATTTTTACTCCTTAGAAATTCAATACTCCATGGAAAAGATTTTTCACATCATTGCCGGTTTATGCAATCATTGTGGCAAATTTTTGCAGAAGCTGGACCTTTTATTTGCTCTTAATAAGTCAGCCTGCTTATTTTGAAGAGGTCTTTGGATTTGCAATAAGTAAGGTAAACACACAGATGCTTCAAATAGTCTTGAACTTTAAATCTCTTGATTCTACCAAGAATATCTTTGTGTAATAAAATAATTAAATTGCTGATCGTAATTCATAACAGTTCTAGGACACCTACTAGCCTGGAGGTCAGACAAGTTATACACTCTGTGCATAGTATACATACATAGCTATTTAATTTCTTCTTAGTAAGGATCAGAACTGTATTAAGCTGCTTTTAAAGATTTATGTTTTACCCAACCTCAAAGTGTTTTTGAAGCTAACTCAAGGACTGCATATTAGGCAAGGATAAAAAGATTTGAGGGTGTGGGTTTTCTTCTTTTCCTATAAACTACTTAGTGAGTAGCAGTAAGAGCCTTCCAGCTAATTTTGCAGACCACCCCTCTCTCCAAAAAGGTGGTGAGAACAGTAACCATTGCTTGTATGGTTTAGAAAGAAACTCTGATAATGCCCCCAGCGATTGTCCTTAGGGTGTCTGTGTTTTGGGGAAGCAGGGTTTGATGGTGAAACATAAATCATCATCATAAAATAATTAAACGTCCTTCCTTCAAGGGAAAGAGGAGCAGCTGAGCAGACGCAGATATCTGCACAGCCACAGGTGCTGTCATAAGTGACCAGGGAAGAGCTGGCATAGTCACGTAATGGTGGCTGCCATCCGTGGGCACTCACTGGGTGTCAGATGTTTTACCGACCATGTGCCACACTCTGTGCTAGCCACTGGGGTCTCTGGGCTGTATCAATGTCATCTCTGCTCAAGGAGTTTCCAATCTGGTGGATGAGACAAGACTAAAATCCTTCACTTATTCATTGCTTAAAGACAGATAAATCACTTCAAATCATTTGCTCATTCATCATTTATTTATTACAATATTCAGGCCTCCCTGGATCCCACATAATTAAATTGGGTGGTGGTAGGGGGGCTGTAGAGTGAGGGTGGGAATTAGGGAGGCCCCTCTCTCAGAAATAGGGACAAATAGCTCATTGTTTCTTTCCCTTCCAGGTGGGTCTCTTGTCTGCCGTCCCACACATGGTCATGACGATCATTGTGCCTATTGGAGGACAACTGGCTGATTATTTAAGAAGCAGAAAAATTTTGACCACAACTGCTGTCAGAAAAATCATGAACTGTGGAGGTACTGTGGATTTCACAGGTGGCTTAAGTGGCTTTTGTAGAATTAGAGTAAACGGAAGTGCAGAGCATATTTTAGAGGTGATGTCTGATCATTGGGATCGATCGTAAAGACCCTGAAGTCCATCCCACAGTGGTCGCCCAGCCTGGACTTGGGCAACCTGAGATGTGACAATTTGGTTGATGGGTGATAAATCAGGACACACCTACAACTGCGGAAATGGTTTTTTCCCCTACTCTGAAGCCCAAACAACATGATTTCCAGTTACATATCTGCTTACTGTTTATCCTTTCCATACGTCCTTCCACATTTATTATTTGCTTATGTGGATTATTCCCTTTTCTCCTTCTTCCCTTTCTACGTATCTATAGGTAAGAAATAGAAGAAAAACATTTTCTCTGAATAGTCTTCTTTCCTTCGAAGCCTGCTTGTACATGGGGTGCACACACACACACACACACACACCATTCTCTTTCTTGGTTTATTTAGTTCCTGCTTTATGTTTTAGTTTTGTAAAGACAAAGTGGAAGTTAAGTGATTCCCCGAAGAGGTAGGTAAAAGTAGTTGGGACCCCCTGCGATGTTCATGACAGCTCACCTTTTTTAACTCCTCCATGTTATTATCTTTTTTGCTTTTTAGCTTTTTAAATTAGCATTTATTGAATGCTTCCTGTGCCAGACACTAAGTTAAGTCTTTTACATACATTATCTTATTTAATCCTCATACCCACCATGTGGAGCTGGTAGTATTACTATTAATATATGCAATACGCAGTGAGGAAACGGAGGTAAAATAAAGTGACTTGCTCAAGCGGCAGGTCCCTGCAAGGTATCAGGTCTGTCCAAGTCCACTGCCAATGCCCTCAGTCACTCTTTGCTGCTACCTCTGGCGTCAGCTTGAGCAGGTAGGAAGTAGAGGATAGTGCCACCTATGGGGCAAGAGGTCACGGCTGTGACATTAACTTGAAAAGGAGGGAAGTGAGCATGCTCTGAATCCAGATGAGCTGGGTTAGGTCACTCTTCAGAAGTGAAGAATACATGGAGGGACACAGGAGCAGGCATGATGTGATCCCACAGCATTTTGGAAGTAAAGTCTGATCAGTGAGACCGGGAATAGTCTGTCGGCTCCTGTTCTCCCAGCAGCTTGACTGCCGGTCCCAGGCAGGGATGTTGGGGCCTGCCCTTAGCTTGAGCTTCTGTGTAGGAGTCTGGAGGTTGGCAGATGTGGGCCTGCTCTCTGGTGGCAGGAGGTGAAGCTCTGGGACGTTGCATTCAGGTCCTCTCCAAAGTAGCTGTTGTAGGCAGAATAATGTCCACGTCCTGATCCTCATAACCTGGAAATACGTTTTCTCACATGTCAAAAGGGACTTTGCAGATGTGATTAAACTGAGGTTCTTGAGGTGGGGAGATTATCCTGCATTATCTGGGTGGGCCCAATGGAATCACAAGGGTCCTTTTAAGAGGATAAAGCAGGGTCGGAGTTAGGGAAGGAGACATGATGGTGGAAGCGGGAGTCAGAGTGCTGCAGCCGCAAGCCAAGAAATGCAAGCAGACTCTAGAAGCTGGAAAAGTCAAGAATGGATTCTCCCCTGCGGCCTCCAGAGGGAATGCAGTTCTGCAGACTGACACCTCGATTTTGCCCTGTAGGATCCATTTCGGACTTCTGGCTTCTAGACTTGTACCATAATAAATTGGTGTTGTTTTGAGCCACTAAGTTGGTGGTAATTTGTTACAGCAGCAATTGAAAACTGATACAGTAGCCAAAGCCTCACTCCTCTAATTATCCAATTCTGCTCCAGGTGAATATCTCTCCACCCCAGGCCCTGAACATAGCTTTTTGTCTCCAACTTTGTTCACTCTCTTTCTCTTTACTGTGAGTTCCACTCACCCTCACCTCTCACCCCAGTTCTCTCCATGCATCCTTTCTCATTCTGCTCAAGTCGACTCCTGTTGTGTTTTTGTATAGCCATGTCATTCTCCAGTGATCTCTCTGAATTTGTCCCCATGACTTGATTGTCAACTTATCATGTGTTACCTTATCACAGCTCTCTGAGGAAAATGTTTTAGGCAGAAGGAATAGCATGTGCAATGGCCCTGAGGCAGGCAGGGATGTTGCATATTTGAGAACAGAAGGAAGGTGAGCCACATAGTTTAGTGAAGTGGAAAGTGTTAGGAGATAGGATCAGAATGCTTGGCCAGGGTCAGATCATGGCAGGCCCGGCTGACATATGCAGAGCATGAGTTTTATTTGAAGTGCATTGGGAAGCAAATGGTTTAAAGTAGGGGGAAAAAACCCCATGATCTGTGTTTCCAAATCTGGAGAATGAAATTCAGGGCACAAGAGTAAAAGAAGGGAGGCCAGGTAGGAGGCTATTTCAGTTGTCCTGTCAAGGGAAGATAGTGGCTTGAGCTAAACTTGTGGCAGTGGAGTGGAGAGAGATGGGTAGATTTCTAAATTCTCTGAGCCAACTTTCCTCTTCTTTAAAATCCAAATAATAATATTCACTTCAGATGTTAGTTATGAGAGTTAAATGAAACAATGTATAAATGCACCAACCATGGTGTCCAGCCTATAGGAGGGCCTCAATGAATGTGAATGCCTTTTTCTTTTCCTGTGTTCAAGACACTGAAAAAAACCAGAGGTTTTCCAAAGAAGGTATTCAACAAATATCTGCTATTCAATTGTATTTCCCTTGACAAAAAAATACACTTTTAAACCAGCAACTTGAAAGAAATTTCTGGATTGAAACACTATTTGCACAACCTCTTCTAACCCAGATGCCTCGAAGATTCTTGAACACATTTTGTGGGCATGCCTTGTTCATATGTAATCTGCTCCAACACCTCTGCACTGTTTGTCCCTGACTGGTAGTGATGGTGTTGGGCGGTGGTGATGAGAACCATCAAAGATGTTTGATTGCTAACAAAGCTGTTGAGAGCAAATCTTTTTTTCTGCAGAAACAAGAATGCATCTGTGGAATCTCCCCAGCCCCTCTCCTATCTTTTAAAAATACCTCTTCACATGTCTCTTAATGGTGTTTAATATTTTGGCATAGTAGGACCAGTGAGTCCTACATAGAAAATTAAAAGGAAAAAACACCACAACAACCCATGTTGTCTGCTTAAATACAGAGGTGCTAGACCAGAGGTAACTATGTGAAAATGAATTTTGTGCCATTGCTGAAGAATGCAGATTGACCTAGAAATAGCAAGGCACTTGCATCTTCTTCTAGAAAATTTTAGTTGGCTTCATGTGTCCTAAAAAGAAATATGGAGGACATTTTTCACCTGAGAAGGATCGCACATCTGTCGGACCCAGTCCCGTTCTTCTTTTCTTCTCCATAGATAAGGGATCTGTGCCATTGCAATCATTTAAAGCAAATAGTTCACCTTAAGATGTGATGTTTCATTCTAGTTCATTGATAGTCAGGGCACATTTCCCAGATGCTCAAAGACGGATGCCAAATTCTTGCACTTCCCTCTATGGTAAGTGCAAAGTGTGACTGAGGTAAAAAAATTCTAGTCTGGTTCAATCAGTTGCCTGTGTGAACTTTAGACTATTTTAATACAAAATGAAAATTTTCTTAGTCTTTTAGATCCTAGTTTTGTTTCTTTTGGCACTCTAAATACGTTCACTTTCAAGGGTCTCTTGATTACTCCTAAAGTTTAAATTTTATCCTTAAGCTCCTGACATACAGTCCTGTCTCTAGGACTTTACCTGTTGGTAGAAACCATGTAGACTCATAAATGCTTTTTCTTCTTTTGGCAATTTGGCCACGATCATTTCTTTTTTCTTACAGATGAACTAATGTGTCATTTGTAAGTTTTATTCTTTGCATAATGTCTTCACTCTAATTCTTTGGGGGCAATTAACTTTCTGTACAACCTTTGTTGAGAGTGTTAAAATAAGTTTCAGCCGATGCCTTGTTATTTAAGACAGGCCACTCTGAAAACACATAGAATTGGTATATAAAACACTAGTGATTTTTCCCTATATATAATTTAAAATGTTGAAACAAAATTAAGAACGAGTAGCCATGGTAGAAAGGCCACAGTTTTAAAAGGACTACTGCTTCCCTCATTTCATTTGGTCCTCTTTAGATGTCATTTAAAACAGCATGTGAAAATACGTACAGGAATGAGAAAGTGTTGCGTGATTAAGAAACAGCTCTCAGAGCTGTATGTCCACAGCACAGAGGGCTGTATATGGGAGGGGTGGTGAGCAGGAAGACGCGTGCTGGCAGGAGATGAAACGGGAACAGCAGGAGGGACTTGTGACGCTGTACTAATGATGTGGAGCCCTTGACAAAAGCTTTTCACACAGCAGTGACTACTCAGGTCACACAGTGTGGAGACTGGACCAGAGGAAGATGAGATGGGAAGACCACCAAAGAGGCTATTGCAGTGTCCTGGTGAGAGGTCACGGGGCCAGGACTAAGGCAGTGGCAGAGGAAGGGGAAATGGAAGTTGTACTGGACAGATATTTCTGATTTTTATGTGAAAGCTGGGGAAGAAGGAGAAGTCCAAGATGATTCTAAGTTTCTGCATCGGACTTCTGGCCACCATGTGTTGAGCTGTGCCCATGTGCCCCACTCAATATCTTATGTACACAATGCCATTTCATCTTCCAGTGTCCCACAATGCTGTAGTATTATCTCTATTTTGGGGGACAAGAAATCGAAGAGATAAAGAAACTTGTTCAAGATCACACAATTAGTGATTTTGAGGTAGAATCTGCACCCATGCCTGTCTGACTTTGCTAGCAAAGTCTGGGTTCTAAACACACGTGGATAGAAGATTAATTTAAAGAAGGAGAAGAAAGTTCATGGTGGTGGTGGTGGTGGTTTGCCTTGTTTTTGGGGTAAAAAAATAGGGGAACAGAGACTTGATTTGGGCATGTTGCCTTTGAGGGAACTGTAGGACAGCCGCGTGGAAATGTCTGGAATCAGCACACAGTCTCCAGATGAAGCACCAGTAATTGCCTCCCTCCTCCAGGACATGCCATATACTTGGAAACAGTATTTATATCATCTTTCCGTCTGCCATTGGCTGAACTCGTTTTTTTTTTCTTTTTGGTGAGAAGGAACTTCTTCATAATTTCCTCATTTTTTTTTTTAATTGTGCTGGACTCACTTATTCTGAATGAAAGGAACAGATAGTACTTTTGTTCTGCTGTATTTTCTGTGCAAAAATTTCATTTTTTTTTAAAGAGGCCTGAAAACTTGGTGAACTTCTGAAATGGAAGAATTTTGACTTCTGCTTTACAAGTGGTGAGGTGCTGCTTTTTGCTTCAGATATTCACTACAGCCCTCTGGTTGCTTTTGGCAATAGATATTAGAGTGTTGGCATTTTGTTTTTATGCGAAAGACCATAACTTATGTAGTCAAAGGGGAATCCTTGCCAGTATATTGGCAAGTTTCAGTATTTGGCCATGGCAGAGGTAACTACCCCTGAAGCAAAGAATAATTAACATCCCTCATCCCATGAGCGTCATTGGAACCTATCGGGACCATGTGGTGTTCAAGGTGCACAAAAGTAATGTTAGGAAGTTCACGAACACCCAGGTAATATTAGCATAGTCATGTGGTCAGGAAACACTTAGGTAATATTGTTATCACTGTATCAGAATATATGTACTAAAAATTTAGGTCTGTGGAAATATAGATTCTTATTTGACAAATTAATGAACTTGGGCTGCTGCATGAAAATGACATTTTTCCCTCTACTGTTTCCATTTGCAGGTTTTGGCATGGAGGCAACTTTACTCCTGGTGGTTGGCTTTTCCCATACCAAAGGGGTGGCTATCTCCTTTTTGGTGCTTGCTGTAGGATTTAGTGGCTTTGCTATTTCAGGTAAAATGTCCTTTGGGTTTCCAGATCTTGTCTATGGATTCAGCAAGTCTTGGGAGGAAGGAAGTCCAAGGATATTGTATTAATAGAACCTTCTTTCAGTAGCCAGGCCATTCCCAAGGAGCAGGACCACTGCCTAGAGAATTTCTGTAAGATCACTGAGGACTGGGTTTAGGAGCCCCGTAGAGCTGGGATTGTCCTCACTTACTTCATCATGGGAAAAGTCAGTGACCCCTGTGAGGCCCAAGCACGCGTCCTGGGTGAAGTGGACTTTCCTACTTCAGCCCAGGTCACCCGCCCTAAGAGAGGCTCCTGTGACTTTCAGTCCTCACCCGCTGCTAGAGAACTGCTAATGTCAGCTCAAATGACGATGTCACTTGACATATAGTCATAGAATCAGAAGGTTTTGTTTTTTAGAGTGAAAAGCTTCTTCAGATATTTTCCTACTCCGTTGCCTTCATTTTCCAAACAAGAAATGCAGGTCCAGAGAGGGGAAGTGACTTTCAGAACAGGGTAGAGCAGGTAAGTTACAAGGATGATGATGTGAGTGGACGCTGACCAAGCGCAGATTCTGTGCCGGGGACTATTCAAAGCCCTCTGTGTGTGAAGCCCCGTCACTCTCACAGCTACCCCAGGGGAGGTCAGTGATATACAGGAGCAGTAAACTAGCCTTCTGTGTGGGAGAGGCCAGAGTACCGTCATAGCATGTCATAAAGACTTGAGAAGCTCCCTCTGAGAAACCAGGTGAAAGAGTAAACTTCAGTTGTGTGTCTCTCTTTTAAACATTGTAATAGTAAAAATTGTTTCTTACAGAAATGTTTTCATATATTACATCTATCTCATAACATTGTGAAGCAAGTACAACTATCATTATTTTGCTGATATTTACCTAAAGCTCAAAAAAATTGGGTATTTTCCTAATGTCACACAGTTGGTGGCAAAAAAATAAAAGAACAGAACAGTTTTGCCTGGCTCTAAGCCTGTGCCCTTTCCATTGCTCCAGGCTGCCTTAAATATCAAATAGAGTGGTAATGTCCCAGGACAGAAAAAATATGGCACCTCTGGTCTAAACTACCCGAAGAGATAGGGGGTTGTTGTATCTATCAAAATAAATAGAACTGACGAGTAGTTAAATTAGAAAAAAGTGTCTAGGTTAAAAGTAGCTTGCAGCTAAGAACTTAGGTTTAGAGGTGCATAAACCCTGGGTTTGAGGCCTTCTTTACTACTTATTATTTATAAAAGAAAACATTTGCTAAATTATTAAGATTCTCAAGCCTCAGTTTTCTCACTCAGAGGTTGGAGAGTCATAGCAGCGACCGCACAGGGTTGTTGGGAGGCTGACCAGAGATAATTCAGGCATTCTCTCGCCCTTCCCATGAGTTAGGCACTCTTCTTGGCACTGGAGATGTTACAGTGAAAAAAATAAAAGATTCTACCTTCATAAAGTTTGCATTCTAATGGAAATAAAGCCCCTAGCTTTATTTATGTGAAGCCCTTAGCACAGTGCCAAATGCATAACAAAATTAATACGTATTCACCATTATTGTTCTGTTATTATGTACTGCAGCCCAGTGCTTCTCAAACTTTACCGTGCATAGAAGTCACCCTAGGGTCCTGGAGGATGCAGGTTCAGAGTGGGGCCTGAGGGTCTGCGCTTCTAGCAAGCTCCCCAGCACTGCTGCTGTTGGGGGGCCCCACTCTGAGTGGCAAGGATAGAGCAATCCTGACTCGCTTCCAGTAGGATATAGAGGAACACCTTTCCTCGATAACTTTGAGATGCAAAAGGGATCCATATCCTGTCCCCAGGGAGATTGAAATGTTCAGGTTCACGTTGCTTCCTTTCTTCCACTTGCCAGTTTTCACAGTCAGAAAGAGAAACTTAATACCCCAAATCATAGCAGCCGCTTTTTTTTAAAGGCCTTACTCCATGCTTGCCACTTTATAAACATGATCTCATTTAATCCCCATCGCAACCTGATGAGAAGGGGATGGCTACATCCATTTTATTGGTGAGGAAACTGAGGTGTGACTTAACTTGCCTAATGAAGCTAAGAGGCTGGGGTTGGAATAAAGGTCTTTCTGATCCAACGATGACACCATGGGAGGGAATGTGGCTGTGGGTTGATAATTCCTCAGGATCTGCTGTCTGTCACCTTTCTAAGGGACAAATATGGATGTTAGGGAAGACCGTTTGGCACAATTCAGGAGCTGATTATAGACAAGAGAGCTGAGATAGTTGGGGTTACAAAGATGCAAGGGATGAGAGATGCCTGTTTGGGGAAATGTCCTATGTACAGAGCAGCTTGTGTGCTATTTTTTTCATCTGCTACAAAATTCTATCAATATCTCAGTTTCTCAGTGATTCCCCCATCCCCAAATCCCAGGATTGTGCAGCTAGAAACCTAAATAGCTTTTCTCACATTATCTTTAGCTGAACACAGATGCCCAGGCTTTGTATCAGAACAGAATACTCAACAATCATATTAATTGTTTATTAAGATCTCTGGGTTCTTTTCTAATAAAGTATTTATCACATTCAAATCAACAGTAAGATTAATTAATCTTGCAGCTGTTTCATATTCTGATTGGCACTTTGATCTGAAAGAGAAGGTATGTTTATTACCAAAAAAAGGTTTTCTCAAAAATCCTCCATGAATGGAGGTAGGAAAAACAAACCAACTAACCCAATGTGCCAGATGAGACAAAAAAAATTTTTAATCCTGTTTTCAGGTTCTTTGCACAGAATAGAGAATTAAAAAGCCAAGCAAAATGAAGCAAAGGAAAACAAAGATAGGAATAAACAGAACCTACAACCCCCTTGCCACAATTTCAGTAGTTCAAACTGACAATTAATTAAACAACTATTTATTGAGCAGCTACTATGTACCAAGCACTTTGTTAGTTCTGGGAAGGTGGTGATAAATAAGACAGGTGGCTGACCTCCAGTAAAGAGCATGCATGTTGGCTTTCACCTGTATGTACCATGCAATTAACAGACATGATTTAACTTAATTCCTACAACAACTTTATAAGAGTGGTTATCCCAGTATATATGAAGAAACTGAGGTTCAGGAAATTTATATCTTTAGTCAGGTTTGCATCTCCATTAAGTGGCCAGAACTGAGGTCTTCCTGACTCTAAAATGCACCCCTGGAGTATACTGGCAAAATTGGCTTCCAGTGCCTTAGGTCTTCCTCATTCGTGGCCTTGCCCTTCCCTGCCTTCACACCTCCGTCTGCCTTCATTCCACTCATTCTTCTCTCCTGATAAATGGACTAACAGTGAGGTGTTGGTGACTTATTATTTTACCACTTCCAGCAGCAGCGTCTTTTGATAGGAGATCTCAAAGAGAGGGAGCTGCATGGCGGTGGCAGCCGCAGCAGTAGCAGGGTGGTGGTAGTTAGTGCAGCCTAGCTACTTGCCAAGGGCTCTCACATACATATTTCCCCAGGTAAGTAGTAATAGTAATATTATCCCCATATTGGAGATGAGGAAACAAAGTCTAAAAAGTTAGTTGTCTAGGCCGGGCGCGGTGGCTCACGCCTGTAATCCTAGCTCTCTGGGAGGCTGAGGCGGGTGGATTGTTTGAGCTCAGGAGTTTGACACCAGCCTGAGCAAGAGCGAGACCCCGTCTCTACTAAAAATAGAAAGAAATTAATCGGACAACTAAAAATATATAGAAAAAATTAGCCGGGCATGGTGGCGCATGCCTGTAGTCCCAGCTACTCGGGAGGCTGAGGAGGATCGCTTGAGCCCAGGAGTTTGAGGTTGCTGTGAGCTAGGATGACGCCACGGCACTCTAGCCCGGGCAACACAGTGAGACTCTGTCTCAAAAAAATAAAATAAAATAAAATAAAAAGTTAGTTGTCTGTCTAGTGGAAATAAGATTCAAAGCCAAATTTGCAGACGTTTTCTTAATTGAGAAATAAGTATATGAAAGTTATATTTCATAAATTACAGAGCGTTCTGCTAATGTTGGTGCAAATATTTATGATAGAAAAGCCCTCTTTTCGTGATGCCATGTGGCCACTGAAGCAGGCTGACCCATGGCTGCCTTTTAAGAGTGAGTAGAGAGCTGGGAGTGGGTTATTATGAAGCGTGGTTTGGTTCTAATCACACTGTATGGGATTATGTAATTATTTACTCTGAATAAATGTGATACATTTTCAATATTGCCCCAAACACCATATTTTGGAGTTCTGAACCTACAAGGTACAGATGCCATAATTCTGTCCCCATGGAAAGCCCATGGCAGACATTGCTAATCAATTGCAGCATTGTCTACCGGTGCTGCTTTGTGCAGACAGAGCCTGACAATCTTGAACCCAATCTCTTGGTCTAGGAACTGATATACATCAATCATATATTAGAGGAAACCATAGATTGATGAGGGTTGGGACAAGCTAAGTATTTTCCAAAGTGTATTTGGAATTCTATTCTTGATTCTGATTTTGAGGTTTTGGCTTCACTGTAGGTTTCAATGTCAACCACCTGGACATTGCGCCCCGCTATGCCAGCATTCTCATGGGCATTTCAAATGGAGTGGGAACCCTCTCTGGAATGGTCTGTCCCCTCATTGTCGGTGCAATGACCAAGCACAAGGTAATGGTATCCTCTGTGGCTGTGGGTTACAGTATTGGAAGACTGAAGCGCTACACACACTTGAGACTTCAAGGCCCTGCTCCAGCCTGTAACTGTGTGTCCTTGATCTTGACTGAGTCAGTAAAACTTTTTTTCTTTTCTTTCTTCTTCTGTTTTCAAAACCATTGCTTGTTGCTGGCACTGGGGCTAATTATTGTTGTGTTCCACTTTTCTCAATTGAGAAATAAAAGTTTGGGGAAGAGGTGTGAAGGCCATAGAGACTGTTTAGAGACACAAAGAAGAAACTGAGGCAATCAACTCAGGATAAATGAGTTACCCAAGATTGTTTTATAATTCTCAGTGATTAAACTTTATACCCTATTTCTATCTATTGCTTAGCATGTTCCAGCATAAAAGTATTAGTGCTGTTATACTTCCTTGTTAAGAAGAAAATAAACAAGACATTAATGATCCGTTCCAAGAATGTGCAAGGTGTGGCACTCAGTTACTGAACCTTTGTGTATTTAGACTAGGGTGGGTAGTAAAGGAAGATCACACGATCCATCCAGAGTTCGTTTATGGCCACATGATTTCTTTATCTTTGTCACTGAAAGGGTTTCAGTATGCTGCTTTCTGCAAATAAGAATTTTTTGATACCCCGGGATTCTTACCCAATTATTTTTTTTAGTTGGGTAGCCTATTATAAATATAACTTCAGAAATGTTTCCAGCTTTTTGGAGAAGAAAATGTGAGATAACTTTTCTTCTTGACAGAAAAGAAAGGTAGGATTTGGGGATTTTATAGGCAGAGGATCTATGTTTTCCCTCTCAGTTCACGAAAGGATAGGGTTGGCAACATGACTATTAAATCCCAGATATACTATCTTCCCCCCACTTTAAACACAAATTCTCATTATTTTTTGATTTACTGTTTTTACCTAGAAAATATGATTATAAATAAGCTATTGGCAGTCAAAGGTGAACACTTTAATGGCTCAAACATTGTCATGTATCCAACAGCAGGCAAGAAGGACTCCTCTGATATTTAAAATGGTGGGTTCCTAAATTAAGTTTAATTGATCTTACTATGTGAGAGGAAACCCCGTTTGGGCATTTAAAAAAGCTATGCAATGGTGCTGCATGTATTTTTTGCATGTTGTTTATTTTAAAATGTATTTTCTAAATTAAAAAATGCATATTCATTGTAGGTTCTAATTTTCGTATTCATTGTAGTCTTAACTTTCATTTGTTAAATTTTTCATTTAAATTAGGCTTGGATCCTGGACACCCCTTCTGACACATGTCCTCCAACGAAACGCAGCATTGCCTTTGGGGTGGGCAGGTGCTTTTGTCCCAGGGGAGGCCTCCAGGACATACTGTTAACCTCTGGTTTTGGTTAAAACATTCATTGGCACTTTATTTCCTTGTTTAGACCCGTGAAGAATGGCAGAATGTGTTCCTCATAGCTGCCCTGGTGCACTACAGTGGTGTGATCTTCTATGGGGTCTTTGCTTCTGGGGAGAAACAGGAGTGGGCCGATCCAGAGAATCTCTCTGAGGAGAAATGTGGAATCATCGACCAGGATGAATTAGCCGAGGAGACAGAACTCAACCACGAGAGTTTTGCGAGTCCCAGAAAGAAGATGTCTTATGGAGCTACGACCCAGAATTGTGAGTTCCGGAAAAAGGAATGGAGAGAACAGAGGGCAGCGACCCTTGATGAGGAAGAGCCGACATCTTACCAGAATGAAGAGGGAAACTTCTCAGCTACATCCTAATGAATGAGAGGCACTTCTGTCTTCTCACCTTAGAACCAGAAAGTATCCATACCTATTGCCTTCCCCATAGCCCCCCTGGCCAGAAGGTCAAATATGGGGACCCTGGAGGGAGGAAGGGGGAGGGGAGGAGATTCATCCACAATAGAGAACAGAGAAATATCTTTTACTGACACTTTATAGGTATGGAGCTTGCCCTCAGTTGATAATACATACATACGTATTTTAGATTGGCAGTTGACCCTTCTCTTTAAGAACTGAGCTTATTCAGAGAGGAATGACTAGAAGAATCAGAGAAACAATACTATGCTGTTCAAAGAACTATTGAAGGAAATGGGAATTTCCTTTCTCCTTGACCTGGAGGAGAGTGAACAAGAGTTGCCACCATATCTCTGAGGGCAGCCATGCGGAGGAGGGGTTCCCATGCTGTGCCAGGTGCTTTACAAACAGTCTTATTTAATCTCCACGCCTCTATGACATACATTTCTTATCCCCATTTTACAAAGAAGGAAACTAAAAGCAACAAGAGAGTACCTTGCCCAAGGTCATTATTCCAGGGCCAGTGCTGAGATTGGTAAAGCCCCAGTTTTAGGGAAAAAGACTTCTGCTCAGTGTAGGATGGACATTTTTAATAATGAAAACTGAAAACGAAATGGGTTTTCTGGGTGATTGTCTATTTTGGCAGGCGTAGGGGATGGGAAACATTTGGACTGATTGTGGATTCAAACATTGCCTGAGGGACTAGATTCAAAGACCTTTAGTGTCCTGCATTATCCAAAGAGTCAAATGGTTCTGTGAATTCATAATTTTTTAAATGGTAAGGGTCACAGACTATATTAGAGATTGAGATTAAACAAAAAGAAAGCTAAGCAAAAAAGCCAAATTTCCAGGAATCTGATGGTCAGAATAGCTGAAAAAGAGTAAACAAGGGATTGGTTATTAAATTTCCACTGTCCTTAATATCAAGAATGTGGTTAAGTAATATTCCAAATTACTTATAAACCTTTAAGACATTTACTAATTTAATAAGTAGGTTCATGTGTTTTTATTAGGTGAAATTCTCCTGAAAGTGTCTTGTGTTTTAAAAAGTGTATGTCTTTAGACTTTTCTGCTGGGGATTATATTAGAAAGTTTAATCAAATTATAAAAAATTATGATAGAAGTATTCATACTGACTCTCTTTGGAATGATAGTATAGTAGTAGATATATAAGGAAATACTAGAATGAAAACATCTGGGACAATTAAACCTATAGTTAGTGTTGAAAAATTCATCTTTACATAAGGCAGTGACATGAATATTCTCTAGATATATTTGAAATTTTAATGTTGGCATGTAAAGGGTTATTTGAAAATAAAACTATTTTACTGTTCATTTGTTTTGAAAATTTTATTTCTACTTTCAGAAGAAAAATATAGTATCTTGGAAAAATTATACGTTTACTTGTAGTTTATTAAAGTGTTTTTCCTAATTTCTCCTATATATATTTCTGGTCCCTACTTGTACCAGTGGAGTTGTAGTGTATTTTATTAAAAAAAATAACCTTGGGAAAAAAATTGTCTGACTCTTCATTAAATAATATTCTTTATATCACTAGTAATACAATTTATAATATCAAACATCTTTAAATCTCTTTAATGAGTTAATCCATGTGAGTCCCTTAGAATAGTTCCTAGCACATAGAAAGTGCTCAATAGCTATGCTCATCATTATCATCTTTTAACCTTTTTTAGAACCTTTCAGTTGAAAAGAAAGCACGCTATGTTGTTTTTATCCATTAGCCACAGACCTTATTGTGAAACTTGTGCTGTTTTCCAAGTAAAAATATTAGAAATTTATGATAGCCAGTGTTTTATTTTTTCTTGTGTTAATAAAGTCAAATAACTATGTAAAGTCAAATAACTGTATTAAAAAAATCATGATAAAGTAATATTGTGGATTGTGACAAAAAGTTGTATTTGTTCCATCATTTGGAGTTGGTGTCGCATGCAGAAGTGCCACATTTTGCCCATATCTTGTTCTCGTAGTATGTATTTTTTTTAAAAAAGGGGAGCCCTGAATCATGATGTTAAAAACTAGAAAACATCTTAGTTTGTTGTGATGGATTTTTCTCTGTGTAGGTTGCATTGGACAAATAATTACATTTTAACACCAGACAGATGCAGTTTGCAAGTCATTGTACATTTTGCTGCAAATGTCCATTTGTAGAGCAACACTTAGAGGCAGATCATTGATTCTAGCAGGAATGGAAGGAGGCCTGAGGGCTTGAATTCTTGAGACAAGAAAAGTCTGATGGTCTTTTCCAAACAATGCAAGTTTTGGAGATTCTTGAATATGACAAAACATATTAATTATGCAAGAAATAATGGTCCATTTGTTATCCCTGCCTGGATGTTAAATTCAAGACGTAAAAATTTGAACCTATTATTTATATTTTGCACTCCCTCCTCCCAACCCCAACAAACTTGTTCTTCTGTTTCTGTTTCTTATCTCAGTTCATCCCATCATCCTTTTGTTCAAGCTAGAATTCTTACAGTCATCTTTTACCTCTTAAAAAAATTTCCTTTTCTCTCTTCCCTGCCAAGTTAATTTAATTTAATTTACAGTCTGTAGATCCATGTCTTACATCAGCTTTGGAAAATTCTCAGCTATTATCTCTTAAGGTATTGCTTTGGCTCCATTCTCTACTGTCTTTCTAAGAGTTCAGTTAAATGTATTCTAGATTATATGCAAGTCTCTTAATGTCTCTTCTATGTTTTTTAGCCTTTTGCCTATATATGTGTCATTCCAGATATTTTCTTCTGACTTATTTTTCAGTTTCTCACGTATTTTTATATTTCTTACTTCAGGGAGGCCTAACAGGGAAAAATCCACCCATTGTGTTCTTAATTATTAGTTACTGTATTTTCAGTTCTAGAATTATTATTGGTTCTCTTTCATTTCTGTTATGTCTTTTAAAAAATATTTCCAGGTCAGGTGTGGTGGCTTATGCCTGCAATCTTAGCACTTTGGGAGGCCTAGGTAGGAGGATTGATTGAGGCCAGGAGTTAGAGACTAGCCTGAGCAAGAGTGAGACCCTGTTTCTACAAAAACCAGAAAAATTAGCTGGGTGTGGTGGTGTACACCTATAGTCCTAGCTACTCAGGAGACTGAGGCAGGAGGATCGCTTGAGCCTGAGAGTTTGAGATTGCTGAGAGCCATGATGATGCCACTGCACCCTAGCCTAGGCAACAGAGCTAGACCCTGTCTCTAAATAAATAAATAAATTCCAGTTCTCTGCTAAAGGACTATGCTATATGATTTTCAATCATATATTTTATAGTAAGCTAATTGCTTTAAAGTCTGATCAATGCCAGTATTTGGAGACCATGTCATTCTGTTCCTATTTTCTGTTGGTTTTGCTGTTTCTTGTTTGTATTATCTTAACTGGGTCTATGCCTGGTTTTCTTTGATTATATCGGACATTGTATTTGAAAAACTTTTCATAGAAATAATTTTAGTCTTTAAGATAATGCTTTTTTTCCCCCCTCCAGGGAAGTTATTGTTTGCTTCTCCCAGGAGCACAAGGCATTAACAATCTGGGATCACTTAAGTCCAGTTGAAGGGCCTGAGAATTCCAGGCCACTCAGGTGACTTGAAGGTGTGCAACAGGCTGTGTGAAGGCTCCTTTACTTCCAGTTCACCCTTACTCCTACAACCCACACTGCTGTGTTTTCACCAGATTCCAACTTTTGTTCCCATACCAGGCTATCAAATACTGGCCTTGTCAGAATTAACAAATGCTTCCAGGTAAAAAAGTGGCCTCATATGTTGAGTTCACTTCTCTGGATTTTCATCTTCTCTGAAGGTCAAATGGTAGCCTGGAAATTTTTCACTACCATGTAGGTCTTCCAATGCTTTTGAGCAGAATTAAAAAAAAAAATGTTTTGTTTTGCTTTCCTAGTGTGAAGATTGGTCTGAATGACCTAGTCTGCTATTAATGGACACTGACATTGCTTAATTTTATTTTCACAAATTCTCTCAAAGGGACCTATTTCTCTAGGGATAGTGTGACAATAAATTAAACCCCAAATCTCAGTGGTTTAATACAGCAAATGTTTAGTTCTCTCTTGTTTTACAGCCTGAATGTGGGTTAGGTTGGGGTGGGTTAGAGTAGAGGCTTGTTCCAGACAATCACTGAGGTACCCAGGATTGACTTTTCTCCATTCACCATCCTGTAGTTAACTATTTGGAACATATAAACTCTGACATCACCACGAAAGGGGAAGGGAGAAGGAGGCACACTGGGTTTTCACTGCTTCACTTAGAAATAACGCTGTCACTTTTGGTCCCTGACAATTGACCTACACTAGCCATGTAGTCCTAACCTAATTTCGAGGTTAGCTAGGGAGTAAAAGGGAGCATGTAGATTAGTGAGTAAGTACTAATTACATCTGCCACTCAGCTCTAGCCTTGTTTCAGGATCTTATGACCTCTCACTTAGCATGTTGAAAGAGTCTCCTTGCCCCAAGTGTCATAAATGATGTAATGCTGCTATGTGACATTCTGGGAGATCTGAACTAGATTGTAGGGAGCAAATCTTTGTAGGGGAAAGAGTTTTGAGTCCCCTCCAGGAGAGACCAGAGGACTCAAAGACATCAATTCATTGGAATAAAATAGATTCTGACCTGATTCAAACCCGAGTTAATAACCACATGGGCTAACTTGAAGGGACAGGGAAGTTGAGCTTTCCTTTTGATTACATGTAGTGCTGTGTCCCAGGCCTTATACCTAAGCCCTCTCCATACATAATCTCATTTATTTCTCAAGGCAACCCAGTTGAAAAGGCTCAATGATTTATTCCCAAGCATTTATCAATAAATACATGGTATCTCAGAGCAGAATTTAAATTCAAGCCTCTAAAGGCCATATTTTAATCTTAATCCTTAATTAAGATGAATAATTTAATCTTATTCTTAATTTTTAAATTCTTAATTTAACCTTAAATCTAATCAAGATTAGAT